CAAATAGAAGGTCTGCACTGACATGCCATCTTAAAACAGCATTTTTATTAGAAAAAACTGTATTTTGAAGAAGTGTGACGACTACTGAACTAGGCAGTTAACCTCAAGTGAGAAAAAGCCTGATCTGTGTATTTAATTCTAAAATTGAAAAATATGTGTAAGAATAAATACTTAGGGTAACCACAGATGCATGGTACATATCCCACAGCTCCCTAAGCTGAAAAGCCACCTGCCAAAACACATTTTAAACATTTCTATTGAAAAAAAGGAGCACAACAATCACAGGGGGAAAAAAAAAAGATAAATCTTTTCCCCCACCTATAAATAACCTTTTCTTGCATATTTTTTCCCTGATCTTTCTGAAATAGCTGGCATTTCCATAAGTGCCAGTGGCATTATGAAGGGTTCCCTTCTCCCAAGACACTACATTCACAAAATTGCCTGAAGCCCACACACATTAAGTATCTTGCAAAGATGTTTAGGTCTTAGGCATGAGGAAAAAGGACAGCTTTTATCATAACTTATTGTCCAAGTAATATGCTTGTATTAACAGTATGTGCTCCCTACATGCAATCAGAAACTTTAACTAGATATGAAAAAACACACAAACAGGAACATTTCAAAGCATATTTTAGACTCTTCACAATTTTACCAGAAGAAAATTGCATAAAGCAGTGTTGAATAATACTCACTGAAGTCATCAGGCTTATGTTCCATTTTTCTTTGATCTGAAACAGTCTTACCAGGATCACTAGTATGATCAACACTAGTCTTCGAAGTGTGAACTCCCACAGGGTTTTCCAACATCAGTTTCCCTTTCTGCATAGCTGTTAAGCTTTCCATACTGATCCCATCCCCTGAAGCTTGGGAGACTGGAAAGTTTTCTCCTACTGGTTGAGTTTTTGTCTGTTTCAGGTTTTCCACTGCTGATGATAAATTAGAAAATTTTTTTGTTTTTCCATTACTTCGATCCTGAACATTTGAGCCCATATCTTTAGTTCCAGGCACACAACTGTTTATTTTGCATGATTTATTTTCTCCTTGTTTTTCAGAACAAGCATCATTTTGTTTACCTTTCTTGCTGGTATTCCCACTTGGAGAACTTCTCCCAACATCCTTCACAGACTTGTCATTTCTATTATGTTTATAATTTTGATTATTTATAACTTTGACTGCTTTGCCTTCCTCACAAACAAGACGGACAGACTTCCTTGGGTCATGATTTCCATTCTTTGAGCTCTTGGCCTCTTCCATTATAGTGAAGACCTGCTTCTCCTGTCTCTTGTGACCACTTGAAGTGCAATTCTTTTAGCAATTTGCAGTTGATTTTAAATCCACTGTGCAGGCAAGGATCGTAGCTGATTGTCTACTGAAGAAAGAATCACAGAAAATTTTTAAGTGAAGGAAAAATACCAAACCTCTCTGCAGACAACACATTAAAATAAACCTCTCTAAAGAAAAGTGTAACTATAAATTATTGCAGCAAAGATGTTCCCTTCACAGGCATAAATGAATTTTCATAATACATTCTGCACTGAAACAAAACTCAAAAAAATTTCAGAATTTTGACTTCTATTTAACAGGGAGGATATGAAGAAACAAGAAAATGGTAGAACATGGTAAAAAAACCTCAAGTGATAAACCTGCCAACAGCTTTTTCTTTGCTTTTTCCTTTCCTTCCTATTTTTGGCTTTCTGAAAAAAGCCAAGAACCAAGATGTCTGCAACTACACTGGAGGGAAAAAAAATACAAAATTTAACACGCACAAAAAATACCACCCAATAAGCATACTATTCAAATTACCCACTAGAGAACACTAATTAAGTTTCTACCAAGCAAGCTCCAATTCATTAGATGATTTTTTTAAAGTATTTAAAGATAAAACTCAAAGTATTAATAAACCTGACTTACCACCTGTATTCACAGATACTTAAGCATATTTCTGACACAGAAAATTCTCCTACAATTTCATTGCTATCAAATACATAAGATTTTTCTTACCCACAAAACCACAAATAGTCGATATTTTTGTTTAGCTGCAGTTTAAGTTTTCTTATCTAAACCTCAGTCCTTAAGGTGACATAACATCTGGCCTTCATGGCAGAGACAACTCAAAGATTATTTTGCCAATGGGAAGCTAAGCATGGATAAGTGGGTCTGTTTGTAAGGAATTACTCTTACTAACATAGAAAACAAAGAGGGAATCTATAACAAGAACTTGTATTTATTTTTTTTTTTAATAACCTTGAGATAGCAATAAAAAAAATTAAGAATTAAATATTAGACATAGAAGAAAATAAATGTTATAGAACTAAAGAAAGATACGGAGTTTAATAACAGAGAGTTTCTGTCTTTGCTGTCCACCAACACATTTGGTTGGTAACGGCATGATCCATAACCCATCAAAATAAATAGCATACAATTCAGTGAAGAACAGGAATAACAGAGAAATCAGTGAGATACAACTATTAGAAGTACCACAATGTACTTTTGTACTTAAATAAAAGAACCAGAAGGAAGGAACAAATTAAAAGGTCTGGTTAAAAAACAAGAAACAGACAAAAAAAAAAAACCAACCAAAGAAAAAAAAAAACAGAACAAAAAAAACAACACACCAACTTTCTGAATATTGGTTGTCGTTTTTTTTCATGCTCTCTGTCACTTTAAGGAGTCAAATCAGGACACAAAGGACATTAAAAATGGTTTTTAAGCCTCTATTGACATAATTAAAAATATATATTATCTGTCACAAATGAAAAAAAACCCAGACAAAAAGTGCATAAGAATTTTTGTGAAGTTAATTTTAGCATCACAGTCCTCAGTAAAACAAAAAAAAAATCTGCATTACTGAATGCATTCCAATGGCTAAGTATGTTATCTCACAAATATATTTAGTTAATATTACAAATACTTTCTATTAAATACTGATTACACCTGGCTCTTACTTCTAGACCAAAAGTCAAAGATCACAAATCAAAAAGATTAAATACTATTTGCCTTTGGATTGCAGTCATTCTTTCCCCTAGTAATCCTTACTAACTCAGCAGCAGGAACTATTTCCCACCTGCACCAGTGCTGCTCCAACCCCAGAAGAAAATTCTTCTTTGATTCAGTATCTTGCAATTTGGTATGAGTCTGAGCTTGTGAATAAGATGTGCCATCCAGGTTTCTAAAAAGATGCCACCTCAGCACTGATTCACTGCGCTCTAGTGTTTTGTTTCAAACAAAACCAACCCAGGGTCCCCACAGGTTGGTTAATTATTCCAGTCTCTGTTCACCAGTATAAAGCACTGCTCTGTAGACTGGTGAGATGTTATAGATACACACTGAAGCACTTTAAACTGTACTCTACTGCTAAGTTTTTCTATGGAGCCAAAAGAGGGAGTAGGGTTTTTCAAATTCTCAACTATTCCTTATGTTTTAGTTGCTCAACCTAAAAAGGGGGGGAAAAAACCCAAAACAACAAAAAACCCCACCACACACATCAGTTCCACTTTCATTTCTGGTTTGTTCCCAGTATCCATGCCCCTCTTAAGCTCCAGGCTGGGGCACACAAGGTCACACTTCCATGTTCACAGCATGTGCCAGCACCAACTCCTACAGAAGCAATAACATCCTTATTCCAACCCTGGCTACTTCCTCTCACTCCACTGGCTGCTCCCTCCCTTGTGCAGTTCTGCAGTGAACCAAACTGGAAAACCAATCCATCTTAACAGAAAGCTGGCACAAGGGAAGAGGATGAGGAGAAGCAGGAGCAGATAACAATAAACAGTAGGATGGGGACAACTTCTCCACTTCCAGCTTAAAGTCACCATGAACTCCAGCACTGGAGGAAAAGTGGGCTTCATTTTGTTCTGCCTTTTTTAAGTGTCACATGGCTAGATTCATATTTTCCACAAAAATGCTACTGTAGGCTCAAATTATTTGATCTCATCCACTCAAGGAAACACACCACTATATATTCAGAGAGAATATATAAGCTTTAATCAAATGTACAAATGTGATGTGAAAACAACTGAGGAAACTGCCAATAAAAACTATCTTTATAACTCATCTAATAAATTGAGTACTGTGATAATAGTACATATTAATAGGATGCATGTAATCAAATACAAGTAGTTAAGACTCAAAGGCACAGATTTATTATTTATGCCTGAGAAACATTAATAGATTAGTCAAGATATTTTCTTAGATAATAATATTTTGTACATAATAAACAGAGTTCCAAAATGAAATTTGGAATCTGAAATGCAAGTGCAATAATCATGTAGCTGTACTTTTTTTTTTGCTTTCTTCTTTCTTCTGTTCTTTAATACTGATTTAGTGAATACAAAATTATCTAAACTGCTGCAAGGTACTCAATAGTAATCAAAGTACCATCTCACAAAGAATTGCAAAGTAAACCAACTAATGAAACTTAACATGCCAAACAAAAACAAAAAAAACCAAAGAAACAAACAAAAAAGGCCACTATTAAACCAGAGTCTCAAAAAGATCCTTCCTTCTTTGTCAGATACTGGCAGCTACATAGCAGAGAGGGGAAACAGGGAAATGGGAGGAGGGAAGGGAGTGCCTCCGAAAAGAGTAACATGGTTGGAAACAAAACACTAGAGCGGAGTGAATCAGTGCTGAGGTGGCATCTTTTTAGAAACCTGGATGGCACGGCATATTCACAAGCTCAGGCTCATACCAAATTGCAAGATATTGAATCAAAGAAGAATTTTCTTCTGGGCAGGCTGGCAATAAAAGCTGTTTTTCACCTGCATCTGCAAACTGGGATATGATTCACCTGTTTAAATAATTTCAGCATATTTCATTTATACAATATCCTGGTGTTACAGGGGACTTGCTTCCCCCTGCTTTCTGAATGTACAGGGCCAGCAACCCCTCTGCAACTTAGCTCAATTCCTGGCACTTTGTAGAAAAATAATCTGCTTGAAATAAAACAGCTTGAAGTCAGGCAAGATACCATCTGACCTCAAACTCTAGAAAATTATACAGCCGATACACACCTACAACAATAAAATTTAAAAAAAAATTAATCAACTTCTATTTCACCACTGTAGAATTAATTTTAGGCTCATGAAACAAGGAACAAGATTGTTTCACTTTCATTTCTGCCAGTTTCTTTTGTTCCCTCCTCTTCTCAGACTAGCATTAGAAAATTCTACATTTGAATTGCAAAAATTCAGGGTCAGGCTTACTTCCAACCAGGAAAAAAACAAACTACTTTCACGAGGCTCTTTCTACCCACTTTTCCTTCTACTCCTTCTTCTCAAGTTGTTAAACTGTATTAAACAGCTTCAAAAGCATACATTTTGGGCCAGACTTGGCCATAATCGGGCCTCTTCAAAGATGAAGGCCAAAGTTGAATTGTGAGCTCTTGCATTCTAAGTTCCTCTTTTGCAAAACATCTTTCTCGTAATCATTTCATTAGCAGCAGGACTGAATACACCTCATTTCCTATACATTCATTTTGTGCTGCTCTGTCACACCCTCGCTCACAACCTGTTGGGTAAGCAGAGATGTCACACAGCTGAAGGAACATACATGCTGACTGGTTCTTAGCTGCTCTTTAAGAGGAACCATAGCTTGCTCCTGCTTTCCCCTCAGCAGAGGCCCCTGCTCTACTGAGGCATGACTTTTCCAGAAAACATACAGGAACTCAACAATCTTTTGACATTATTTCAAATCTGTTCTAAAATGTGGTCCTGACTGGTTGAAATGTCCAAAAGTAGCAACAGAGAAGAGCAACTAAAGGAAAAGAGAACAGTGTGGTAAATTTTGTTTCCTCAGGGAGTACTAGATTAAATATAAACAACAAAAGTACTACAAATATAGTTGTTATCACCCTGTTTCTATAAAGCACTCCCTCCTTTGAGATAGAGAGACCTGTATTTTATCTAAGACCTGCTTTTATCTGTTCCATTATGACGGTCCCTTAAGCTCAAATCTCCCCAGCCAGCCTACGAACAGTCAGTGGGGTGATTAACCCCATTCCCCCCAGCTGATTACCAGTATAGCCTGGCTGAACTTCCTCAACAGAAATAAAAGGAAATTCAGCAAACAAAGGCTACAGCCACAAGATGGGAACAAAAAGAAAGGTTGTCTCTACGCTCTCCTCAGCTTCTAGGTCTCCTAATGTGCTGAAGCGGGGGGATGTCTTTTTTCTGGACCATTTACAGCCTTAGACCCATTTTTGTGTCTGAGAGCTTCTACAAAACATTCAAGCTTCTTCCATGTTGGATGCCAAAAGTTTAAAAAAGTTATCACACATTTGTGTTTGTTTTATGGTGAGCCAGACATGACTTAGTACAAGATACTATAAATCCTTGATGTTTTTCCAAAGTACTTAAACTAAAACTAT